CCCCCCCCCAAAAAGCCATGTGTTCGCTGCGTCTGGAAGCCGTGTCTGTCACGCTGCTTAGCTGTGACAGTACAGTCTGGGACAACGTACTGGTTTTCCCGGGGGGATCCTCAGCAGAAGAGAGCACACCAGAAAGACACACAACGGCGGAGTGTGAGGCACTGCCTTCCCAGGAGAGACAAAGGCACGGGAGGGGGGAATGACACGCTACGGGGACCTCAGCTTCTGGGAGATGCTAGGACCCCTTTGGCCAGGGAGGTCCAGCACCACTCCCCAGGGCTGCTAATTTACTTTTATCTCCACTGCTTTGGGGATGGAGGCGTTCCGGCTTGCACCAGTGAGAAACCAGACAAAGAAAATAACAGACTGGGAGGAGAGGAAACCCTGCCTTGTGCAGCCTGGAGCGTCCTCCACCTCCCTCTGCTCAACAGTGAGAAAAATACCCCTCTCCTCCACTCTCTGTGCACTCCATGGGGCAGAGGCAGGCTAAGATAGCATGGAGGTCTGCACAGAAGCAACACAACAGCATCCTCCCTCTTTTTTTTTTCCCCAAAGTAGAAAATCCAGCAAAGCCCCAAGCTCAGGCACTGTCCTTTTTGCCAAGTGATTTTATTTTAAAACTGGAACTCAAGTTCTCCACTTGTTTAACAAGTCCCTTCTTTTTTTAAATAAAATTAATTTATTCTACAGAACAGTAAACTCTTCCAGACTCTTCCCTATTTACAAATTAACATTTTTGCTTGCAGATCACTGCTTCCCCCTCCTTTTCCTAGCCTGTGATGCAGAAGGTGAAAAAATCAGCCAACGTTTGAAGGTCTGTAAGGCAGTGCTCCCATCCACAGCCACCTGGCCCGTTGGGACCTCAGTGAAGAACAAGAATGACGATGTCTGTGCCGTATCTGGAAGTCCCCCCTCATTCACCGTGTGTGTGAAGGAAGCAGGTCCATGTTAAACCCATCAGCCAAGAGCCTCTGGCCTCTCCCTGGTGCATGGGCTCCTCCGAGCTGGATTTTAGCTGTACTCAAGAAGAAGAAATACCTCCACCAGAGCAAACTGCTCCTCCTGCCCTCTGAAGGGCCATACATTTGGGGAGAAGGTGGCATTTGCTGCAGCAACAAGATCCACAGCCCTCATCTCTCACACCCATGGGCCAGAAAGGCAGCTCTCACATAGCAGGAGGTGGCATGGAGCCTTGGAGACCCCTTCTCTGCCCTCTTGAAGTGAGAAAGACAAGTGACTCCAGCATGACTCCGGCACTGGGGCCATGCTTTGCTAGCTCAGGAAAGAAGGCACCTAAAAAAATAAATAAATTTGACCCAACCCAAGACACCAGACAAACTCAAGGGGTTTTGAGCTAGGTTTGCTTGGCTCGTACCTCCCTTTGCGCTAACTGGTAACTTCTAGCTGGGTACAGTGGGGTCTGCTCTACCTGGAGACCTATCCAGATGCTTCAAAGCCACCTCGCTCAGGTCCTGCTAGCACTGTCACCCAGGCCTGGCAGCCACACGAGGAGCCAGGAGTCCTGGCGATGGGGAAGACAAGCTGCGTGAGGCAAATCAAGAGGGACATGCAAGCGCTTTGTCTGCAAGCAAAGCTGCCCCTTTGGAGGGTCTCCCACCCCACATGAGCTACACAATCCCAGTAAAACCACCCTGAGGGCTTCAGTGGACCAGTAGGAAAAGCATGGACAACATAGCCTGTACCTGGCCACAGCAGGTTTCTGCTCTACACTCTCCTCCAGGGCTCACCTCTATTGAGGGACCTCCTTTTTCTGCTATAGGTGCACGTGGTTGCACTGGTCTATCAGAAAGCCACCAAGAAGTGGTGACCACTGGTCCTTCCCAGCAGCAGCGCTGCTACAGCCATTGCTGGCAGGGTTTTCTATCAGCCAGGGAGGGGACTTCAGCCATCAGCGAGGGCAATCCTGCCTGTCCCTGCAGTCAGCCTGGCCTGGCCCCGGCGTGTTGGCTGCCTGTTCACCCCCCAGCAGCAGCCCCACTCCTTTAGCTCTTCCTGGGCATTTCTATTTCTCTAAGAAAAAAAAAAAAATAATCTTCAATAGCATCTACTGAAGACATGTAGTGTTTTCATTCCTGGGAGCCCAGCAGAGCACCTGCAGGGTGAGGTTGTCCCTCAACTCTGGACACAGCTCCTGGCCTCTGTCTGGCCCCCCCGGACACATCCCGAATGACTAACAACTGATGCAAAGCAGGGGTGTTGTCGTATTTTTCAAGGTTTGCCTTGAGCAATGGAAAAATATTTCCTAGCTGCGGTAGTGAGAAGGCAGAAGGCTGAGCTGATGCCCTTGCAGAGAGCTTAGGTTTTGAAAAAAAGCAAGGAAGAAAGGGAGGAAGAAAGGGGTTATCCAGGGACTCTCCATCAGTAGAGCGAGGAGGGAAAGGACAAAGGAACAAACATGGCAGAACAGCAGGAAAAAAACCTTCCTCGAATGCAATTCGTTGAGCTTTGGGAAAAAAACCCTTCTGGCAGAGGGTGGGAAAGGTGTACCCCTCACACCTCTGCAGGGCTGCCCTTTCGGGCACACGGATCCACGTCTGCAAGAAAAGCCTCCATGTGGGGATCTGCCACTTCCACAGTCATCCTGAACCACCAGAGCCCCTCGGCAGCTGGTTTGCAGGGCGATGGTGCCAGGAGGGATGTTGGCCACGCTGGGCTCTCACCCCAGAAGGAATGTGCCGAGGTGCTTTGGCTGGAGGAAGGAGCCCATCACAGCTTCATGCTGCCATCCCAGGAGGGACATCCCCAGGGAGGAGATGCAGGGAGCCCGGCTTGGCCCTGGGAGAGCTCTTGGTCCGGAGGGAAAGGGAAGAGGCCGCAAGCTCCAAAAATGGCACTGATGCTTTCAGCCTCCCAAACCCCCAGCGCTGCCCCAACCTCAGGGCTGGCACCGGGTCCAGCCGGGACATCACCTGCTGCTCACACAGCTCCCGAAAGCGGCGGGGAGCGAGAGGGACATCCTGGCTGGGATGCTGGTGGTGGCAGGAGGAGGTGGCAAGGCTGGTGCAGCGGTACCCCGCATCCCAAAACCATCCCAGCCCCCAGGCATGGGGGAGTCAGTAGAAGGAGTATTGGTTTTCCACCGCCCGGGTCCGGCTCCGGGCACCGTCAGCCTCGTGGTAGTCCTCAGCACTGGTGGTGGTGGGGGGCTCTGGCCTGCGCTCAGCGCTGTCGCTGCGGCTCCGGGGGCCCAGGGTACCCTCCAGGCGGTGGTAGGGTGCAGGGACGGTGACAGCAGGGGCCACGGCCACCCCCTCGGTGGGTGGTGGGGCTGGCAGGCCGGTGGGTGCCGTGCTGCAGAAGTAGTGAGGAGGCGGCAGGTCGACCCGGCAGCCCGGTGGCTGCGACGGAAGGGTTGGTGGGGGGCCAGCATCTGTAAAGGGAGACAGGAGCTTGACCCCTCCAATGCTGCCTGGGGGCTCAGCCTCCCCTTTCTCCCTCGCTGGCACCTTCCCAAGCCCACCCTCTCCCTTGCTCACCCTTCTCCATCCTTCCCCAACCCTCCTTGTCCACCCTCTCCCAGCACAGCAGGATGCTCCGAGCCCCACAGATCCCTTTGTCCTCTTCTGCCTGAGCTGGGGGACTCAAACCCACAGCCAGGAGACACATGGGTCACTCTGGCACAGCCCTGTGGTCCTTTCTACCCACCTTCAATGGGATAACACCCACCTTGGGGCACCTCCAGAGCCACGCACACCAGCACGTGCACAGCTTTAGGGAGGGGGGGGTGGTCCCAGGGAACGGTTGGTCCTTTTTGAGTCCATGCAAGACACCAACCCAACCACCAACCCAACCCTCCACACGTAGCCGTGCTCCTGCTCGGCCCCAGTACCTACCAGGCAGCGGGCTCTGGGCCACGACGTAGCTGCGGAGGGTGATGTCGGCCGCGCCGCCCGACTCGAGAGGGATGGGGTGTGTGTGGAAGTGGCGCAGCATGTCGAAGATGGTCTGGAACCAGAGGTGCTGGACGTGGCACTGCCCGCTCTCGTTCAGCGACAGGCGGAGGTGCTGCAGGGGCAGGAGAGGGGTGAGCTGGGGCTTGCAAGGGTGAGATTCACCCTCACAACCAGAAGGAGCCACCACCAGCCACGGGAGATTTGCTCATAACATAGGACTGTGTCCTGCTGCAGGGTGTTTCCTGTAAAACCCCACGCGCTGCAGCCCCAGGAGGAATTTGTCCCCTCCTGGTGATGAACACCGTAGAGAAGCAGCCAGAGAAGGGTGGCTGGGTACAGCTTGGGGGGCTGCAGCTCCAATCCTGGTGACACAGACAGGCTAAGGAAGTCCCCAGCCCATCTACAATACTTCTTGCAGGACAGGTGACAAGACCAGGCAGTTATAGCTCAACCCCTTGCAGCAGGTGCCTTCTGGTAGAAGAGGGACCCAGCAGAAAACTACATGAGCTGTATTTTTATAGTGCATCCCTGTAATTCAGGACACAGAGCAGGCAAGAAGGTGGCAGGGGATGATGTGCCAGGATATGCTGGGCTCCTGTGGGGTATTTAACCTTATGCTTGTGTGGCAGGCACTCATCCAACCAGGAAAATGCTGATGGGGCTGGGCAGGGTGCAGAGGGCTCTTGGTGGTCCCAAGGGATGTCCTGCTGGGGTGCAGCTCCCTACAGAGCTTTGTGCTTGGGGTCACCACGTGGCACCCACTTTCTCGAAGAGCCCCAGCAGGGTGGGAAGGAGCCCGGGGTGCTGGGCAGGGCTGGCACTAACGGTCAGGGAGAAGCAGAGAACACCCACCTTGGCTTTCCCCTGGAAGTTGAAGGTCAGCACGTACTCCCCCGGCCGCGTTTCGCTCTGACGGATGACGAACAAGCCATGGCTCCGGGCACCCCCAAAGAGCACCAGCTGAGCCGCCTTGATCCGCGACAGAGTCCCATGGAACCAGGGAAAGTCAGAAAGGTTGATCTCTGCCTCCGCCTCGTTGTCCTCCCCTGGCCAAAGGGATGGCAGGTTTTTATGGAGCCCCCAGACATCCCCCTCTCCCACCCCTTCCTCCTCTCCCTCTGTGCACCCACGAGAGGGGGGCACTGGGGCTGCGTCCTGCATCCTGGTACCTGCCAGATGCCCACTGGCAGTGGGGGAAGACTCCAGCGTCTGCAGGAAGCTCTCCAGGGGGACGTGGGCGAGGAGCTCCCCCATGGAGTCCCTGCCCCGGCCGTGGGGCGCAGGGACGGCGGTGGCCATGGTGGTGGTGTGAGTGCCAGGCAGGGCACATCTGTCCGGCGGTCTGGGCACATCTGGAAGGGAATTTGCAGAAGGATAGGCTTCCAGGTCAGCCTCACCAGACGACACTGGGGACATTCCTGCTCTGAAGGCAGCTAGGTTGGAGCACCCCTAGCTCTTGGGTGACATTTCAGGGCTACGTTATGGCTCTAGCTGCAGCTCAGGGGACTCCCTTTCAGCCTCTGCTGGGTTTCCTTCCCCTGGTGTGACCGGCATGGGAGGCACAGACCTGCCTTGGTTGGGCACGGAGATGAGATGGGGCAGTGCAGGTGGAGGCTGGGACCCAGAGACCCCAGTGCCTGCAGACAAGGACTCTATTTTTCTGCACGCATGAGGATGTACACGGGCAAAATCAATGTTTTCAATGGGGTGGGACACCTTCCCGGGTTGGGGGCAAGCATAACAAAGAGGAAGGCAATTGACAGAGGAAGATCCATCCGCTCAGCACCTGCTGCAGGCTCCTTCACTTTATCGCTGGCAGGATCTGACTCTCCAAACCCGAGTTGGCACCCACAGGTGCCCACCTCTTCCTGGGGGGTGTTTTTCCCAGATGTAGGTCCTTACCATCAGCCAGGAACTCGCAGCTGCAGGAGGACACCCTGCCTGGCAGACAGGCTCCCTGCGCGCAGGACGCCAGCTCGATGTCGTCCCCGCTGTCCCTGAGGGGAGAGCACAGAGCAGACAGTCACACACTGCAGGGACACACAGCCACGCCATGGGGACTCCACCAAACAAAATTCCAGCTGTAATCCGGGAGCACATCCCAATGCTCCTCACTTCGGAGGGGCTGCCACGGACAGAAGCGCCCCCAGCATCAAGAGGCAGAGTGGCTGGCAAAACAAGGTGGCTTTTTAGGGGTGAGACACTGGTGTGAAGGGATGAACCCCTGAAAGCTCTCACTACATGGGTCGTGCTGGTCAGTCCTAGCCGCAGGATTCTGCTGCTGCCTTGTTGGTTTGGATGGAAACCTGTCACCTCGACTTCCAGCCCTTTGCTTTGCGAGGCACCCACACACACACACGCACACTCCCACCACCAACTTCCACCCGAGGACACTTTCGCTTTCATTCATCCTCCGTGAAGGGAATTACCAACCCACAGGAATTACATCCCCAAAAGACACCAAAAAAACCCAAGCTGGGAGGCCCAGAGGGAGACAGCAAGTGGGAGCAGAGCAGAGGGGGGCTGCAGAGGTGCATCTCCCGCAGAGCATCCCTACTGCCCGACCCCTGCCCGGGCACTTCAGCTCCCTTCTTGTGCAAGCTCCCCCCACCCCGTCCCTGCTTGCTCCACAGCCTATTTATTTTTAATCCTGGCCGCCGGCGAGATCCCAGCGCTGCCAGAGCTGCCCACGGTGACTCTTGCTCAACGGTGGCCACGTGGGCACAGGCGGCGAGGAAGCGGCTGCGTTAGCGATAACGGCTCACGAGGGAGCCGCTGAATTATTTAGCAGCCAGTAAGTGAATCAGCCACTGGGAGTCATTCAGCTGCAGCCGGTTAAAAAACAAGAAGGGAGGAAGGAAACCAAAACCAACAGCGTTGGGCAGAAAAGCCGTCGCCAGGCGCTGGGGCAGCGGCTCCGGCACGCAGCCCTTGGCAAAAGCATAGGGGAGCTGGCTGAAAAATTCATTCTTGGCACCGAGCGCGTGTGTCGGTGTATTAAACAGCTCATTATTATTTGCTCTGGAGTTCATTATTATTTGCTTTGCAGTCACGTCCGGAGGCCAAAGCGGGACGGCGCTGGGTGCTAAGCAAACACGAAAGGCTGGGAGGCTGTGGGGGCAGAGCCAGGGGCTGGCGTGGGGCTGCTGGCACCTTCTGCTGTGGCTCCACGGGAGCGTGGCCACGGCCCCGGGTAGAAAACCAGCACCCAAACACGCAGGAGGAAAAGGACTGTATTTCCCAGCCTCCCTCAGCAGCCCAGCCTCAAGCAGCTTGAATTATATATTTTTAAAAAGGAATGAGAGGACGATGGGCAACGGGCACAAGTTGGAACATAAGAGGTTCCACTCAAATATGAGGAAAAACTTCTTCACGGTGAGGGTGCCAGAGCCCTGGAACAGGCTGCCCAGGGAGGGTGTGGAGTCCCCTTCTTTGGAGATTTTCAAGACCCGCCTGGATGCAGTCCTGAGTAACATGCTCTGACAAGCTCTACGCAATCCTGCTTCAGCAGGGGAGTTGGACTAGATGGTCTCTATGGTCCCTTCCAACTCTAAAAATTCAGTGAAATTCAGTGAACAAAAGGAGCACAGAGTCCACCCGTGCACCCTCCCTGCCAGACGCAGCCTCCACCGTGACCCACCCTGCAGGCACCCAAACCACGTCTCTCGGGCAGAAGGGGGCAAAGACAGCCTGGAGGGAGCTGGAACCTCTCCAAGCCCCTTGTTATTCCAGGTTTGCTTGAGGTTTTCACCTCTGCAAGCTCGGGCATCTTGTTTTTCCAAAACCATGCCAAGAAGGGCAGTGCTGGGTTTTCCCCATAGCCCGGGGACTGCCTGGGCTGATGGTGTCCCAACCAGCTGAAGGGCAGCAGCAGCGGGCACACAAACCTCCCTACAGAGTCACCTAAAGCAGAGGAGAAGTTTTAGCAGGGTTGTTAGGACCCCAATGGCAGCATTAACACCACCACGATAGAAACATAAATAAATCAATTTAGCCAGCAGAATCTTAAATATACTACGGATGCTGGACTGGGAAAAAGCATAGAAAATAGCTAAAATATAGTATAAAAGCTTCAGAGGGTGAGTGTTAAGTGCTTCCCAGTGAGGGCTGTGTTCCTGGGTAACCTGCCTCTGCCTGGCCGAGGTGATGGGGAGCAGGAAAGGGTGAGCAAGCAGCCAGCCCTCTGCAAGGCTGCACCTCTGACACACACAGGCTGCTAACTTTGCCTCCAGACTTCTGCTGACGTGAGTTCAGGGACTTTCTGTAACACCCCAAGTAGCAAAAATTGCATCAGGGGTAATAACCCGTGCTGGGTGGCGAGGGCACGACAGCAAAAATCTTACCCAGGGTCGATGCAGTCCTGGATATCTGCCACCCAGGAGTGCTTCTGCAGGGAGTCGATGGTCTCCAGGATGTACTCGGCCCCGTTCTCCACCTGCAGAACACATGGGACAGTGTCAGGCTGCAGCCAGGGGTCCCTGGGGTAAAAAACACACCCCACAACCCAGCCGGATCCCCAAATTCACTTGCTGCTATTGAACAGCACCTCGGTTGAACAGGAGAGGATAAGTGCAAGCATCCCCAGCAAAGGGATGCCCCACAGAGATGCTTTGATGTGTCTGAGCGTGATCCCTGACCAAAGCCAGGGCTTGGAGGAAAATCCCCACCCCACCATTATCAGCAAATGCATCACAAGGCAGGGTTTCTGCTTTTTTTTTATTATTATTATTATTTTGGGGTTTTTTTTGGCAAAACCACACCTGGCCAGAGGCATCAGGGGTGCATGACCCCCACGCACCAGCAGAGAGAGCACCCCTCACCTCTGGGGTGCCTCAGCATCCTCCAAAAACTAGCCCTGCACAGGTAGAGCAGAAGCCACGCTGCCCTCTCATCACCCCAAAAATCCTGCCTCAAACCCAGGAGTTTAAAACCTCTCCTCCATTATCTTTTCCGCCTACTGGTCCACGAGGCTTCTGATTTCTGATGGCAACAGGGTGGGAGAGAAACCCAAAGAGCCTCCAAAATTGCAAGCTCAAAGGAGCTGGGCCTTTCTGGGGCCAGGGAGGGCCCAGAAAAGCCCCACATCAGCAATGGGGCAGCAGGACTCAGAAGCCACCCCATGGGATGCTTGTGCCTTGGGTGGGTTTCCCCTCATCCCTCCCGCACCCCTTATACATGGCATTCCCCAGCTGGCCAGGCAGCCCTGACCCCGGGAGGGTATCACATTGCCAGCCGAGACAACCTCCCAGCTAATTAAATTAATCACAAACAACTGAATCACCCTCCTGAAAATAAGCAGGGCGTGCAGGGAGCCCGGGCTGGGGCTGAGCAGCAGCGATCCTGGGGCTGTGCACAGCTGATCCTGCCCGAGGGGAGGAATAAAGATGTACCCCCCACCTCCCGTTACGTTTAACCAGAGTAAAGGAGCTTCTCTGGCTTTCTGAGGGCAGTGCATGAAGCCAGTGTGGGAGACAGGGCTGTTCTCTCATGCAGAGCATGACAGCAAGAAAAACACGTGCGGGGCTCGGGTATTTTGCAAGCGTCTGCTTGTGCAATGGAAAAAAAAAAAAAAAAAAAGAAGAAAAGCATGTGGTTGGTGTCCGACAGGCAGTGAGGACACACTGCCTGCTAATTTTTAGGCACTACGGGAGAAATTATTCCAGCCTGGCCTCGTGGAAGAAGGCAGGGGGTTTTCCACCCATCGTAATATGCTGGAGTGCGGGATGTTGCGTGGGAAGGTCGAGATTTGGGCTTGACATCAGCCCCGTAGGGAGGCAGTGGGAAAACCACGGCACCCAGCTCCTTTTCTTACCAATCCATACCCCGACATCGAGGGGTGTTCATGCCCCCCCAAGAGTACAGTCAGCAAAGGGGGAATGCAAAAGAGCGCCAAGAAAATGGTGGAAAAAGATTAGAAAACATGTCTACACCGAAAAGGTTATCAAACACTGGAACACGCTGCCCAGGCAAGTGGTGGAATCGCCATCCCTTGGGGGTATTTAAAAGATGAGCAGATGTAGTGCTGATGGACATGGTTTAGTGATGGTTTTTGTCAGCGTTAGGTTGATGGTTGGACTCGGGTCTGAAAAGGTCCCTTCCAATTTAAAGGATTCTATGATTGTAAGATGTCCCATCAAGAAGGGCTGGGGCAGAAAACGAGCCCTAAATAATAAAGGATGTCCGGAAAAAGGGGAAAGCATCCTGTGCTGAGAGCAGGGAAGGGAGGGCAAAGGCTGGCTGGAGTGACAGGAGAGGGGCAGCAGGGGGGGAGAAGTGGACAGATGGGCTCCGTACCGTACCCGCTGCCTCGGCTCGCTCAAAGGATCGATGGCAATCAATTAACCCCGCAGCAGGGTGGAGTGCCCCGGCCAGAGCAGAGCAGGAGGGTACCTGGTCAATCAGGCATTTCCAAACCAGTGGGGTTTGGAGCATTCCCCAGGGTAATTAAAGAAATGGCTGAAGCAGTCACAGGGCCATTAGCAGTGGGAGTGGAGAGAGCGTGTTGGGCTCCAGAAGATGGGAAGAGGGCAAGCCCAAAGCCCTCCCCTCCAGCAGCCAGAGAAACCAACCCTCCACAGGCACCCAGGAAGCTCCCTAGAGCTGAATTTCCCCCCAGCAGGGATCTGCCACGACCCAACCCTGTCAAACCCATCTACACTTGCTCGTGACAGCCCCAGGGACGGGGGAGAAGCACTGCCACATCCTTGGCATTGGCCATGCTTTGGACACTGATGGACACTCCAGCAAGGCAGGCAGGAAGACATGGTTGAGATGAGACTTGTAAGGGAATCTAGAAAACGTGATCACAAGTAGCTGATGAGCCATATTCCAAGAGCAGTTATCGATGGTTAATGGGTTATCGATGGCTAACGATCAAAGCTGAGGGATAGGCTAGAAGCTCCTTCACCTCAAGGACTCTCCGTGCATGCTGCTCTTCAGTAACGATTAGGACAGAAGCAAAGAGAAGATGTCTAATCAATTCACAGATGACACCACGTTGCAAGCGTGTTGGAGGATGAGACAAGAATTCAAATGAACTCATCGAACCTGAGAAATGCTCTGTGGGAGAAAAAACCAAGCCAGCCCCCAGCTCGAGGGCACGGGTGAGCTCTGGGTTCACACCAATCGCTGTGGGTGTCTGGGCTGGGGAACTGTGACTCTGGAGTGGTTCTGCAAAAAGCATCGAGGGGTTACACCAGAACACAAGCTGATGAGTCAACATCGTCATTAGGATACGGAGAAACCAACTGGATCAACTTGGGCTGGGTAAAGAGGAAGAAGAAAGGAGAAGCAATCAAAGGAGAAGCAATCCTTCCCATCCACTCCTGGCCACGGCACCACGTATACCTTGGGGCACACTCTCTCCAGAGCCCACAAGGAAAGCAGGGAGGACCTTGGGCTGGTCAGTCTGGAGAGAAGATGACACATGAGGTTGGTCTTTGAGGCACAGAAGACAACAGCTGAATTAGCTTCCATGTCCATGGTGGACACTGACCGCAGCAGAGGTTGAGGTTGAACAGCAAGAAGTCCTTGGGGCAGGGAGGATGCTTTGGAGGAGGCTACCAGGAGAAGGCGTTGGACCTTTACAAGGAGCTAGGTTGGTGGAGAGCAATTTCCCACAGAAACGTGTGGTGGGGCCAGATGGGCCACCAGGCGCAAGGGGCTTTCATGAAGCCAGGCTCAAATTTTATCCTTCCTCTGCTTTCACAGTTTTCTAAGCTTTTAAGCAGGTTCATTCAGCCAGGAAGCCTGGCCTCTCCACTCTGCCTTTGCTGCCTGCTTTTAGGGAGAAGCATCAGGGAGCAAAGTGGTTTTTCAGCAGAGGTAGGACACAGAAATCCTCCAAATGCTGGTGTTCCCCACGTACATGTGCTACCTCCCAGCGGGGCACATCCAACAGCTCTGATGGAGAGCATGAGTCCATTAGCACAAGCTGGGAGGCACAGCCTCATTAGCTGGAGAGAAACACCATCTCCAACAACACATCCATCATCCCAGCAGCACGTCACGCCCCGAGCTGGGACCCTGCAAAATTCAGCCCCGCTCTGCTGTGACAGGCTGCTGCCTTTCGGCAGAGCAGGAGGGAGCATTAAGCTAATTAATTGCACGATATGAGAGATATTTCTGGAGAGAAAGACTTTAATTCTCTGCTCGTGCCCCCAGACTTGCGTGGGGTGGTTGATTCCTGGGGCCTCGGTGGCCCCGCACACCCATGTCCATGAAACTGCCACCACGTGCCACCGATCCAGGGCAGCAGCGGTCACAAAACCACGGGCAGCCACACCAATTAGTGTCTCTGGACACTAATTGAACCGGTCTCCTGCTGACGAGGAGAAGCAAAACCCCATGGTGAAAGCCAGGCAAACAGCTCCATCCCAAAATAACCACGCATCAGGTGGAGGTTGCATCATTTTGAGGTGAGGGGGGGCAGGCAGGGATCCCATGGGGAGCATTAGCACTGTTGGCTCTGAAAACCAAGGCAACAGGAGGGTGGAGGGGGTCCCCGTTGGGATCTACACCTCCTCTCACCTTTAGGACAAAGGTGTTGTCTTTGTCAGGCATCTCCAACGGCATGGTGGTGCGGACCTCGATGATGGCCGAGAGCGGGATGCTCACCTTGGGTTTGGAAGCCTAGGAAGAGGGGGGGAAAAGAAAAAAAAAAAAAGAAAGAAATTAGAACTTAAAAGAAATCGATAAATAAATTAAAAAAAAGTCGCTCAATTGAATCAAACTCTCCTGGGGGACAACGCAGCGGGGCTCTCAGAGAGGCAAGATCACAGCTCAGCCTGCACAGTTATTACAGGGAAGTGGTGGGGGGGGAAAGAATTGATTTCCCTCATGTGCCTGATAACTCCAAGCTCTTTTAATTAAACCAAGAGGAGGCCCGGTGGAAGACAGGGAGGTTAGTGCATTTAACTGCCAAACCTCTGCCTTGCTCCAGCGCGGGCTGATGTGCCAGCTCTGCCAAGACCACTTATTCCTCTCCTCCTTTTCAAACCCTCTCCCCATGGAGATACCCCACAGGAGAATGGTGCTGTCTGATGGGGGATGCTTCCTGTGCAGAACGTGGCCCAGGAAGATGCCCCATTTATCCAGCACAGAAGTCCCATTTCAACTGAGAAGCTACGACGCGGCAGCCTTAGCCAGGCAGGGAATTTTAATTACATTAAAATAAAGGAAAATGAATTTCCCCTGGGGCACCCAGCACCCGCCGGAGCCTCAGTTGCGGGTTGGGGGGGGCAGGACCCAGTGCATCCCACTCAAATCTGTGCTGAGCAACAAATTCCCCGGATATTTGTTTTAATTATAACAAATCCCCCCAAAGGAGCCCGCCGAGCTGCTCTCCGGGGCTGGTCCCCTCCAGGGCTCTGGGATTCTGAGCATCGTGGCTGCAGGAAGCGGAGATAAAGATTTAGTCACCAAAATCTGTGCCTGGTGCCTCGGGTGAACAGGATGGGATGAGGCTGGTGATCATGGAATTGTCAGAGCTGGAAGGGACCTCTAGAGATCACCCAGTCCAACTCCTCTGCCAAAGCAGGGCTGCCCAGAGCACATCACTCAGGAGCATCCAGGAGGGGCTTGAAGATCTCCAGAGAAGGGACTCCATGACCTCCCTGGGCAGCCTGTTCCAGGGCTCTGCCACCCTCACCGTGATGAGCGCCACGCTACAGGTTACCAACAACGGGTTCAGTTCCCATTTTTTGGGAGGAAAAAAATAGATCCAAGACAAAGAACAGGAACTGCTTTTTCCCCTCCAGGTCGTTTCATTTCCACCAGCCCCAGGCCCCAGTGACGTCTCTCAGGCTGTGTGGGGCTCAGCCCTGCCCTGGGGAATTCTTCCCTCGTGTTCTTTGCACGGGAGGAGGTCAGGAAGGCAGAGGCAGCTACTTTGAGAGGGAAGAAAATATGTTGTTACTTCACTGGTGAGCCAGAGAAGGGAACTCTCCAGGAAGGGTCTTCCCTTTAAAGATTTAAAGACATGACCATAGTTTTTGTAGGACCTACACAAAAGCAAACCTGTGGGCTGCTGCAGCAAAAAGCAGCTTTCCTCCAGCTGTGCCAGGCTGGTGCCACTTTTACAGCTGAATCATTTGCCAGATGGAAAGCAAGATGGGACGAGGGGAGAAAGATGTAAACCAAAGCGGGGTGTGATTATAACAGGAGAGCAGACAATGTTCATAAAAGTTGCCATAAAATCATTTCAAAATTGATTTTTCAAGGCAAATCAAGACACACTTAAAAAAAAAAATCCCTCTCCGAGTAATCTCTTAAATGTTTTAAGAGCAGCAGTTGTTCCATTATAACCTGAGTTTATTGCCCCTTTGGTGGGGATGACTCTCATGCTGCTCTGTGAAGCCCACACCCCTGGGTTCCCTGGATCCTCCATGCATCATGCCATGGACATGGGGCTTCCATCCCATCCGTGTCTCATGTGGTCCCTGGGCTGAGGAAGCCCCCCTGGTCCAGCCACCAGCAATGCATTGCCATCCATACCGGTGCTGAGCCACCCTAGAGAGATGCACTTCAGTTTAAACTCAGGGTTTATATTTTATCAGGAGGCATGTGATGGTTAGGGGAGAGGACTAACACCAACAGTGCCAAGGTTCATTCTGGCCACAGAAAAATAGAAAACGCCGTTTAAAAATATGAGCTATCCTGCTGTCCCTATGTGTAAGGAATGGATCCAGCCTTCTGCCAAAACTCAGGCCTCCTGGGGATTCAGAGCACACCCAGACCCACAGAGCTGCAGCCCTGGGTCGATGGGACTGAAGCACAAACAGGAAAGTCCCGGAGAAGATGAAGTAAATGAGTTTTGTGGTTTTTTCCTTCCCTAGGTATTTAAACAACCTGAGATTTCATTACCAACACGTACAGCTAGCAAAGCCCCAGGGAACAGCTTGTTATTTGCCCTGTGCTCTTCGAAGAGGTGACAACACAACACAGAGGAGGCACAATCAAGGCGTTGGCGAGGGTTTGGCAGCTCAAATTATCCCTTTGCCCAGCCCAGGAGCAGAAGCAGTCCCGTGGCAAGGAGGAGACTGAAGGTCTCTTAATCCACATTTCTCAAGCAAAAGGCTCCACTGCTCAGCCTTCCTCCCCAGGAAAAGAGGGACAACCCTTCCCTGCATCACACCCAGGTGAAATGCGTGTGCGAAGGGGACGGAGGACACACCAAGGACACACCGCAATGAAAAACGGCTCCTGCTTTTGAAGCTTTCATTGAAATTTCAGAAGAACATAATGCAGGCAAGGAAAAGCGATACTGTGGGTAATAAAAATAATAATCAAGTGTTCCTCTGCCCAGGAGGGTAACGTAGCTGGGGCTGTCTGGGAGGAGAGCTGCAAAATCCATTCAGGGTAGTGATGCTTCAGCCCCAGAAGGCATCACTGGCATCTTCTGTCCCCATCACCAAAAGCTGCATTGGAGGTGGCCTTGCAGATGCAAAGTTATTCCAAATGAATTATTATTTTTAAAAGGAAAAGAAAAACAAACAACTGCTTTCAGAAAGCAGACTAGTGACCCTGAGAGCTAAAGCACAAAGGCCAGGCAGCAATCCCAGCCTTACTGCTGCTGCGTGAACCACCAGTCAACCACGTGTCTCTGCAACACATTGGGAAGAGAAAAAACCCTCTGGATAGCCTGGACACCCCACATCTTGATGGGAAAATTAGCTTTTCCAGCAAGATTGATGATATCTGGGGGCCTAAGGACCTGGCAGAGGCTTTAGAATCTCTCCCAAGGGCTGTGGGGAAGGGGTGGCCATGTCCTGGTGAACAGCAGCAATTGGGGCCTGCAGGTTGGATGGGCTTCAATGATGCTGTCCCCTCCACTTGCATCTCAGCCACCTGGCACCAAACCCCACTCTGGACCAGAGCTGGATTCCATCCCAGCTCAGCAGTGGAGATAAGAAAAGCCTCAAGCAAAGCCCAACTTGAATCGCTCAGAAAAACAAGGGCGGAGAAGAGCCAGGACTTACCTTCGGAGGGACGTAAAACTCGAGGAGGAACCTCTCTCCTTCCACCTTCACCGCTTTCCGCAGCAGGAGGCGGCACTTCTGCCACTGTGAGCTCCCCACACAGTTCGTGTCGTCGGCCACCATGTAGCGCAGCGTCCCCTCCCTCTGGATGTCCACCTGCTCCACCTTGGAGGAGGGCACCTTGGACAGGCGCAGCTTGTGGGTCCATTTTTCCCGTGGGTCACCGGGCTCCTTGCCCCCTCCAGCTGGCCATGGCTCCCTCTCGGCTCTCCGGCCACCTGGGGCAGCCTCAGCGCCCGGCTCAGGAGAGGACTTGCGATGCCACATCTCCTTCATACCGTCCACCACACACAAGCTCATGTTCCTCAAGGAGAAGCCTTTCTTGAACTTGGGCTTGGTGGCAGCGTGGATGGAGACGTCCTCCGAGCTGCGGGACTGGCCGTAGGAGGACACCTTGCGTGCCTGCACCTGCTGAGCTGGGCTCAGGTACCGTCCCGTGCCCAACGGGGCGTCCATGCTGTCCAGGGACTCGGTGGACGTCTCCTCCTTCCTCGGGGCGACCTCACGTCCGTAGGGGACGTGGCAGTTCTGCAGCCCCACGAAGGGCACGATGTTGTACTTGGTGGGGGAGTCGGACACGAACACCCGGCTGACCTCCAGGCTGAAGATGTCCAAGAAGTTGGCGGCGAAATGGTGGGAGAAGGAGGTCTCCGCCCCGGGGGTGTCGTAGTGGGGGTTCTCCTTCAGGAACTGGCAGAACTTCTGGGCGAAGTCGACGGCGGCCGCCTGGGCGTGCAGCTCGCAGAACTCCCTCCAGTCGGGGAGCGGGGAGGAGGGCTCCTGGCACAGGGCATCGCCGTTCATGGCTGCCCCATTCCACCTGCCGGCGGGCTGCAGGGACAAAGGGGACAGCGTGATGGTGGGCACGGACACGGGCAACCCACCACCCTGCGTGGCCATGCCCCCCTGCAAACAGAGGTCTTCTCCCCACCACGGTGTCGGAGCAGGTTTGCAGCCCCGATGCCAAGGGGAACACCGTGGGGAAGTCATTTTCGTGCCGTTCCCTCTGCACCTCGGACGTCGGGAAAAAGTCTTGGCCCCGGCAGCAGCCATAAATTGTACTTATTTTACGATTATAACCATGCAAAAGCATTATTGATTTCTCATAAAACCGCTAAGGAGTCCCCGACCGGAGGAGCCCGGGGGGATTCGCCTTCAGGATTTATCTCTCCTGTGTGCTCTGCCCGGGCATGGCGGCAGCTCTCCCAGGGGGTGAGGGAGCTCCAGGCATCCCACATGGACACACAGGGCAGCACCCTCCCCTCCGCACCCAGCAGCTGGTCCTCCTCCTTCTCCATCCCTATTTCTGCCCTGATTCTTTAGCACATCAATTATTTTTTTTTTTTTTTTAAGAGATATATTAGAAGAGACATGGACCTTGCCTCTTTGGTTGGCAAAGACCGAGCCTGACACACGGCCAGACCTGCTCATCCCCAGGCTCTATAGCCCAGACCCTCCTCAACCAGGTGACATCTCACTCGGGGCAGGCACTGCTCTCATGTCCCATCCCTCGCTGTCCGGTCTCATCTCCATCAGACCGAGCTGAGCTGCTGGAGCCATGTGGGAGCTCAGCCCCTGCTGCTCACCCTCCCTGCTGAGCATCAGGCACTGTGGGGTAACATAACCCCAGGACAGGTCCTCAGCAGAGGCCAATGGGTAGGTAGGGTACAGGGGGGAGGGGAACACAAACCAAGAAGCCAGACCCAGAAGTTCATGAGAAATTGAAGGGAGTTGAAGACCAGACCCACACGCCCATGGGAGAAGCACCACTTTGCCCACCCTCCACACTGGTCCCCTCTGACCCACATGTCCACAGGAGAAGCACCACTTTGCCCAACCTCCACACTGGTCCCTCTGACCCACATGTCCATGGGAGGAGCACCACTTTGACCACCCACCGCACTGGTCCCTCTGACCCACATGCCCATGGGAGAAGCACCACTTTGCCCAACCTCCACACTGGTCCCTCTCCCAGTGGCCACAGGACTCACAGGAGCAGGTGTGCATCCCTGGCTTTGTCATAAATCTCTACCTGGCTTCGCGTGGCTTGAACCACCTCCCTGGGGAGAACCCAGCAGCAACCGCATCTCAAAAAAAAAAATAATAATTTCCCAGTGCCAAGACTGCTTGTGCCTGCTGGTGACAGTGAGCAACTGGGGCACCAGTTCAGCCCATGTTCTCAAACTCACGGTCCATGTGTCCAGACACACTCCCCCGAGGGCAGCAGTTTGGCTAATCCACCTCAGCTGGCTCAAATACAGAGCCCAGGGATGCCTGTGGCTGCCATGATCCAGGCGGGACCATGCCTGGGGACCATGCCTGGCTCCTGGAAGGACAGGTCACTTTCCCTGCATTTCTGCTGTTCTCCATTCACAGAGCAGCTCTCTGGCTGGTGAGGGATTACTCCTGCTAATAAATCGCGTGCAGCGACCCGCCAGCAGCTTACATGGCCAATAATTAATTACCGCTACGGATGAACTACACAAGCCACGGGATCGGGCAGGCACTGGAGACCGCACTAACCTGCTCCTCGTCTTCCAGACCCCAACCATGTTGGTCACCAGACCTCAGGCAGGAGCAGGGCTGGGATCTGGAGGAGCAGCAGCAACCAGGAGCTGGTTGCCATTTCCCCAGCACATCCCTATGGAGATGAGATGCTGCCTGACCCACCAGCATAAAACAACTGAGCTCTCCGGGAGCACCTCCGTCCCTGGAGGGGCCCACAAACCTCCTCAAACAGAGAGAAACTCACACAGGCAACAAAAGCACGCAATGGGAAGAGAAACCCCAAGTGAGAGCCAGAACCTGGGGAGCTTGGCTTCTCCGCTGTCTCGTAAGGACCAAGCAGCATCTCTGCCACACACACGTGGAATCTGCCTGCTTTGGAGACAGGGCTGCTGCTTGGTGCCCCAGCTGTGCCAGGGAGGCAGAGAGGCCATGGGACACACGTGGCCCATCAGTGACCTGTGCTGGCCCCTCACATCTTGCAGCACCATCACTGGTCCCCAGCAGAGCTCTGGCCCCTGCAGAAACCCCTGTTGAGGCTCTCCCCGGCATCGCAGGGCTTTCCCGAAAGTCAAGTGGGTCCCACTCACTGGGATGCAAGCCAGCTGGGAAAAACCCCATCCCTGCAGTTTAGGAGCAGTGGCTGAATTTCCCCAGGAGACAGTGGGAAAGCAGGAGAAAATGCAAAGCTGTTTGTTACCCGCCCAGCAACTGCAATTCCTACTTCTCCATCCATCACCGAGCAGAGAATTTAAAGGCTCAGCTCATGGTGGTGGCTACTGCCCATCAGCTTGAAAATTCACAGCCCCAGCTGCCCACTAACCCCTTCAGGAACTGCCCCAGCACCAAGCCATGGGCTGGGAGGGTTTGGGCTCGGGGAGAAAAGGGACATGAAATGGAGTCTCCTGCTGCCAATCTGAGCAGGCATGGCAAGAGCAAGGGAGGGGGAAAGGATGCAAAGGGAAAAGAGTGGAGAGGGAGAGAAAACCCCATGGTGATGGGTTTAATTGCACGTGCAAGGGAGGAGCAGGCTTGGCTTTGCCCCGAGTGTCGAGCCCTGGGGCTTGGCCAGAGTCCCCCCCCAACAGGGATGGTGGGAGAATGCTTCTCCCCATCCATCTCTCCAGCAGGGATCAGTGCTATGGAGCAGGGCCTGCCTGCCCGAAAGCCAGGGATGGCAAGCCAAGATGCAACCGACTCCGAGAGATTAAGGGCGGGGGGGGCGGGGGAAACCAGAAGAAAACAAACAAATGAAAAAAAAGGCACTTTAGACAAGATACAGCCCCAAACAAAAAGCCTCACCACCCAGGCACCGCAGCCGGGCTCGGAGACACGCACACAGAGGCATCACAGCATCTTCCTTTCATCTGCACGGGGATGACAGACTTTAAAAGGCCAATTTATAAAAATGAAGCCTAGAGGAGAGACATCTGGCAGGTCTGAGGAGGCGGAGAGGGGGGGGAATTACTAACCCTGTGCTGCATCTCCAGCCCCCCTCGCCCAGAGGGGGGTCTGTAAGCCCCAGGCTGGGACCAGGCAGGGTGGCTGGGGGCAGCCCCCTGGGACCTCAGAGCCATCGGTGGCCCCACCACCCACCCCAGCACAGACACCTTCACCTGCTTTCCGTGGGAAGCAGGCTCCCAATTATTATCTGTGTAGATTTACCTTGAATCTGGGTGCCTCCCCTCCCCACCACACCGACAGCGCTGCCCCACTTCTCCAAATAACTTCTCATGCCACAGACAGCATCCCCGGGCAGAGCGGTGGAAGCGAAGATGAAAATAAGCTCAAGATGGAAATAAGCAGCAAATCTGCCATGGCTTTTTCAGAAAAAAAAAAAAAAAGAGAAAGAAAAAAGCAAGGGCCATCCACTTCCAGCCCAGCTTACCGAGGGTCGCAGCGCGCTCCCGGGCACCTCTGGAAGGAGCCAGATCCCTTTGGAGGTGTTATCTGCCGACTCCAGAGCTGGCTCAGGGGCCACAGCCTCGAGTCCCCTGGGTTACACGAGAGGACAGACATGTGAATACATAAAATGAGGAGGTTTGTTGTCAAAGGGAAGCCACAGAGCGGCAAGCGAGACATCAAGCTGTCGAGGGGCTCCTAACCCACCTGCACGAGCCCCCAGAGAGCAGAGCTGTGCCCTACTGCTGCTGTCACTCGGGAGAGCGATTCAGAAGAAGGGGAAAAAAAAAAAAAAAGAAAAAAGGATTTCTGGGGATCAGCCAAGTGGAAACCCAGGTTGCAATGGCAGGCGAGAGCCAGCCGCTGGCAGCGATGTTATGACAATCTCTCCCGACGAGCTGTGCTGATGCGCCCCGCGCGCCGCGGCACAACCACGTAGAAAGATCTGAAAGTCGAAGTGAGCTACTGACCTCAAGAAGAAATGAAATTTGAACTGTCAGCAGAAGTGCGAGAGACCATGAAAAAAAAAAAAAAGAAAGAAAAAAAGAAAAGAAAAAAAAAAGACACCTCTCCGGTGAAGCGGGAGTTAGGGAACGACGACAAAGCCACCCGGATTTGCTGAACCAGAGCCGTGAGGAGGAACCAACATCTAATGAGGTGTTAATAACCCGAACACGCAACGCCGGTCATGGGATAGCTGGGAGAGCCAGCCAGCCCAGCACTTGCTCCCAGGGCTTTATTTAAGGAAACAACCCTAATAAAGAGATGTTTCCCTTCCGCCCGGGGCGGCACAGCCAGGCTGGGCCAACGCGATCCGAATTTCATCGGGGAAAAAAATACCATCCGATGGAGGCTGTGAGACACAAGCCTGTGTCCCTCCATCTCTGCGTGGACGGGGGAGGTCCTGGGGCCATGCATGTGCGTGGCAGGAGAGGGACAACCTGCAGGGAAAGGTCCGTAGCAAAGCCCTGGCTGATGGGGAAGGAGGTCCCCAGCTCGGACCCGGTTGCCCGGGTCCAACAAGCCGCTCAGTTTCCAGCAAGATCGATGCCACTCAAAGCCTGGGCTGGCCACCCCGTGGGGATGGGATGGCATGAGGAAACCCAGGCACCTGCTCTCCCCCCAGAAAAGCGCCTGACCTCAGCGTGTTGGGCCAGGGGAGATCCCCGAGTCACGAGCAGGTCCCAGAGCAAGGTGACACCTCCCCGGCAGCGAGGTGACGTTCCTGGCAGGCAGCTGCTGGCAGGCAGGCAGCCCCTCTGGCAGCTCGCAAGGGAGCCTCCAGGCACTGCCTGCCCCCGGCAGATGGGGAAAATAGCTAAAAATGGGCATTTCCCAGCCCGTGGGGATGGTGGGGCAAAGCGAGCAGCACGTGGGGCTCGGAGCTGATGGCAGAATGGACGCAAGCACATCATCTTTGCTCTCACTGTGCAAGCCCTAAGGGGGTGGGGGACACATCAGCCTCAGGGCTGACATCCCTCCTTCCACAGCAGACACCTGAAGTGTTCAAAGATCAAATGTCCTCCTCTCGGGGGCTTCCTTTGCCACCCTGAGGAGCTGGGAAGTGTCCTGGCCCTCACAACCCATCAGAGCTGTAACCAGACACAGAGGCTGAGCTGAGGAAAATAAAGCCATGGAGCAAAAAAAGCAAAAGTTATCTGTCCGTGGGCATTACACACCCCTCCAGACCCACTTACCATCCCCACCACAGCCCAGGGTGGGAGAAGTTGATTGCTCTCTGCACTCTTCATTGCTCCACGTACTATTTATACCCCATAGATCTTAAATCAGACCGGCTGTCTGAATCGGATAGAAATGGAAACAATCTTTGTTCCTCTCATTTACTGTCTATCCCACTGAAATATTAATTGAACAGCATTTTGGCCTTCAAATTTAGTGGTCAAATCGCCTTTCTTGAACCAATCCCCCGTTAAATGCATGCTTTGACTCCTTGCCCAGACGCACTACAGGGTCCTCCTGTCATCTGGAGCCTCGAAAACATTTGTCCAAAGTCAAAAGGCTGCTCGGGTCTTTTTCTGCTGCCCGATGAGGGATTCCTCCAGCCACAGCCTTAGCTGGAGCAGCTCCCCAAACAGATGCCCCCACAGCACCCAGCAGGGTGGGATGGCCATTTTCCAGGGCAGGCTTTCAGGGCACGGGCGCTGAAGGGAAACAGCTTCAAAAGAGAAAATGGGCAAGAAATGACCCCTTTCCCCCCTCCTCTTGCACATATGACAGTCTCCCCACAGCTCTGCACTCAATCACCCCCCAGTTCTTGTGTCCCGATGCCAAGGAACTGATGCAGGAACTGATGTGCCCACAAATAAACCAGACTTTGGGGACCACATCCCCCAGTGCAGCCTGGAGGCAGCTCCAGCCCTGCCGCTGACTTACTGAGAGAGTCCCAAGCCCACGGCACTGCTCACCCTGTGCCAGCGGACCCCCTGGGCGCTGGAGGGGACACACAGACACTCCTCTTCCCCCCAGGCAGCCAGTCTGCCAAGACCAGCCAAGCAGAGCTCAAGCCCCTGAGAGTTCCCCAGCAAAAACTGAGATTTTCCTCCATTTCCCACTATTCTGACCAACTTCATATCACAGGGTTGTTTCCTTCCCTCCCCTCCGAAATCCCCTGCAGACTAAACTTTACCCCCTGCGCCGACAGCTGCTGGAAAATAAAGACAAGTTAATAGACAAGATCCACTGGATCTTAGATAATCTCTTCCCCGAGTAATTCCCTCCAGCTTGCAAAAGGAGCCACGCTGCCAGCCCATGCGTGGGGCTGGAGCATCACCCAAGCCACTTAGCACACTGCTGATCCGGATAGGGCAACATGGGACCCGGGGGGGTACCAACCTCACCCCCCTGGGTAAGGGGGTCCCCCTGGGGTGCAGCAATGGGATGCTACAGCATCACTACAGCTGGGCATCACGAACGCAGCCCGGGGTTTGGAGGCAGCGGGGTAGGTCTGGAAATAAAGCAAAGACATGCCCTCGATGACCCCTCAAAAAAAAAGCTTGAAAAAATTAATAAATAAAGATCAGAAATAAAAAAATATAGAATTAAAAAAAAAATTAAAATAGAGCTTTTTGGTAAAGGAGGTCTGTTGTCCCTTCCTTCTCACCTGCCTGTCTCCGGCCGGGGAGCTTCCCACAGAAAAGCAACTGGTCCAAAATCTATTTTTAACCCCCACAATAGCAGAGCTTCCCAAGAGGAGCGGCCGAAGCCCTGTCCCCAACCCAGCAATCTCACATTTCCCTCGCTAAGCCTAGATTTCCTTCCGCCCCTCAGCCCACAACAAAACCCTCCTCCTCCTCCTCCTCTTCTCCTTTTCCCATCCTTGTCAAACTATTTGCACATCCACCTCCAGGCCGGAGCGGTGCCACGCGGCGACGGGATGCACGCTGCCACGCATCCGTGTTATTTATTAACCACTGACCTGGCACCTCGGGGCAGACCCTTCCCAGGCTCAGACACACCAAATAACAGGGGGTTTAGCCGCTCACTCACCACCCCTGGATGTACCCGAAACTCAGGGGATTTAAAGAAAAAGCCCCGCAACACAAAATCAATTGCAGTTCCCAAAATAAGTGCAGAGTCCTTTAACAAGAAGAGCCTCGCCTGGCAGATGGCTGTGCCATTAAGGGGCTCCTGGGGTGGTTTTGGGGGGATGATCCGTGTGGGTCAGTGGTGTGGGATGCCCAGCAAAGCGTACCCCGATGCCACATGGCACAGCCACCGCTGCGTGCCTCCGTCCCGGCTCACTCCCAGGGATCCCCCCCTCATTAGGGCAGAGAAGCTCCCTAGATTGTCTTTCAATTACGGCACATAATAAACATAGGATAAAGTAACATAGGCCTCTGCAACATTTTCTTATTATGTTTTTTTTGTTGGTTTTTTTTTATTTTTTTTTATTTTACTTTGCAGATCTAATTCCCCACCCCCGTCGCTGCCTCATACCCGCCTGCAAACAGCCATAAACTGCTGCCTAATGGTATCTGAGCTCGGGAAATTCAATTCTACCCAGCGCCTTACCCAGGACTGCTACAATCGCTGCTAATTGCTTAAGTGGTATATTAAGCAAAACATCTCATAAAAATTCCAGTGGGCTTTGAAACACCACCATTCCCTCCCCCCCCCCCCCCCCCCCCGGCCACTGCCTCCCTGCCCCACGCACGCAAAGGATGCTTCATTCCTGGCCGATGATCCAGCTGCCTGCCCCGAGCATCTGCTCTCCCGGGTGCAAGGAGATATGGCTGGGCTCTGTGGCATCAGGGGTGGGCACCAGGGGGGC